TCTGTAATGATGTTAATGCCATAAAAATAATCAGATTTCAGTGTTGAATATGGACTCTTTCCGCGACAATGATGAACTGTTCTACGCACAGCAAGAATTCCCTGAAGCACTATTAATAGCATTATGACAATCATTTAGAAATTAATAATCATCGTATTTAGGTTGTTTTTCCAAAGCACCAAGAGGCTCGAAGCCTACAATAGTTTTAATATCTCAAGAGGGCTCCGCATGGTGATTGGGCAAGCGCTGCTTTGTTTGGGTTCCAAGGATCTGGGAGTGTGCAAGCGAACCAGCTTGGTATTTAATTATCCTTTCGGAAAACGAACAAAACGGATTTTCCTTGACGTACAATGGGGTCACATCTGGATGAACCCACTGTAAGTCGGAAATACCCCAAGTCAAAGATGCATTTGTTACACCTGACGTCTGGAACATTGTAGCTTAGCCTAACCTACCTTAAATGTGCTCAGAGCACTTAAATTGGTCCACACCTGGGCCAAACCATCTAACTCAAACCCTCTTTCATAATCAACTGCTGACTATGTCACGTAACTTACTGAATATTGTACCAGAAGTGAAAACCAGTGGTTGTGTGTCGGTTGTGTGCTCCGGTGATCACGTGGCTGACTGGGGGCTGCAGCTCACTGCTACTGCCCGGGGTCACAAGAGAAATCATGCTGCCTATCGCTAGTCTGGGAAAAGACCAAAATTCAAAACACAAAAATCTCGTGTCTCTGAAGGCATGTGGCTTTCACACTGAGAATGGTATAAGTTGAATGCTTGTGAAGTCGGGGACCATATGTACATGCTTCTCTGAGATGCCAGCTACCTTTTCCTCATCTGCTTCTCCCTCTCCCGTGTTAGCTCACACCTTGGAGGACTCACAAAGTAGAGGAGTGTGCCAGAGTTTGCCTTCCCACTGAGAAACTAGTTGATGTTCCAGCTGCAACAATGAATGAAGTTCACTGGCTATCAGAGTTTCTGCTTCTGATGGCTCGTTTGATGGATGCCTTAGATCCATACATTTTATTTCTACTCTGACAGTCTCTGGGTGGGAGAGGTGGGGGCTTGTCCTTCGAGAGCGAGAATGCTCTGAAAGTCCAGTGAGTGGGCCTCTGGGGTTGACAGGCTGCTCTAGGGAACAGAAAGGCAAGAATTCTGGTATCTCTCTGCTCTCAGGAGAGGCTGAAATAGAAGATTTTAAACATTATTTTGGTGAGTTGGTGATTTCCATTCACAGCTTCAGAAACTACCTAGAGATGGTTGCATGACCCATGGTAGCATCTGGGAAGAGAGACAAAGGCCAGGATTTAGCAGATCTGTGCTTGCCCTTGTAAATGCCAGTTCCATCCAGAACCTGCAGAGCCATGGAACTAAGCATCCTGCTGAGCACAGTTGGTGGTGGTAGAGGATCCACCCTCTTTTCTTAGGTGGAAATGGTCCCGGACCTACTTTACAGACCAGATCAATTGTTAGATTCTCTGAGAACAATTTGGATTTTACCCCTCCTGTCGTGAGCAGATTGCTTTAATTGTGAGGGACAGACTCTACTTTGAAACAGCCTTGATAATGACAGGGATTCAAGACAGAATTAGACATGTCTAGATCCAGGGGTTCAAAGTTTCCCATCAGGATTCTGCTTTTCTCTTTATCCCTTCCAGGTCACGTTCTCAGGCAGGCTTTCTCCAGGGCAGATGGCCTTCCAGAGCCCCAGACTTATACTTTTTTTGCACCTGAATCTCAGAAGGAGTCAGATTCTTTCTCTCCCACTCCATTCCTTAAAAATGCTTCCAATAAGCCCTACTTCATAACCATTTAGAGCCGAGAGTTCCTCCATCGGCCTGTGTGGTTCAGGCCACCCAGGTAGGAGAAGTGGGAGTCTTTGAGTGACACCTGCCCAGGTCAGAGGCTGAGGACAGGGCTGTCCTTGAGGAAGGGATGTGGGAAACCCAAGAGCAATAGACACAGAATCCTGTGTGGCGTCTCCCAATTATTGCGTTGGGATTATATTATAGGGTTTGGGTCAGACAGGGCTGGTTCGAATATTAATCCCACCGCCTACCAACCGTGTCTTCTCCGGCAAGCTGCTTAAGTATACCAAGCCTCAGTTTCCTTATTTGGTTAGCAGGAACAGTGATAGTACCTGCATCAAAAGGTAGAATGGTAAAAATCTGAGCAGAATGAAGAACTCAACACAATGCCTAGCACATATAATAGGGACTCAATAAATATTGGCAATTTTTATAGGCAACTCTTATGATCTGGCAACTGTCAAGATGACTAAGAATGATGGAGTGGACATTTTTATTGTTTTTCTGTTTTTGAACCAGAAGGAAGTCATTCCACACATTTCAAAAGATCAGTAACAAACACATTTTTTAAAAATATTTGGCTCTATTTTCCTGGAGTTGTCAGAACCAACTCTAGAAAAAACGAAGACCATGGGCTGCTCTGCTCAATTCTGTGAAGAAAAGACGATTGAAGAAAAAGGCAAGCTGGGCTCTAGCCTCGTCCCCTGTTCTGGAACTGATCATCTGACCTCCACTGAGGGACTCCTCCTTCAACCCCCGGGCTACCCTAGACCGCAGCCCCCTCCTGCCTTCCTCCACACAGTGACCCCAGGATAGATATAGTTACCAGAATTTTTCTTTTCCGTTCTTTTTTTGTGAGGTTCAAGAGTTTCATCAATATGTCTAAGAGAGTCTCTCTCCTCCTTGGGGCAGCTCTTTCTGAGCTTTTCCTATCCTGTTCATGGGGCACAGGGACAGACCAGGGAAGACTCTGATGGACACCAGTCTATGACTCTGTAGGCCAGGGGCCAAGAGGACTTTGTAGTGCCCAAGAGGGTGCACTCTGGTCAGAGTGCCCTGGCTCACATTCCAACTCACTACTTTCTGTGTGGGTGACATCACAGAGTCATCATGAACAGTAGAGGAGGGAATACACTGGAAGTACTTAGAATGGAGAGCAGTGTGAACCATTGCCGTTTATTACTGTTACTATGTCCTTTAAACTCTTGGGATTTAAATCATTGGTTCCACATGAGAAAGAGGTAGGAGAGGGCAGAGAACAATCAGTCAAGAATGATGGGCAGAACCACCCGGGGGTGGCATTCCGCCGCTACAGAGAGACTAAAAGAGGTAGAGAATAGAGTTTGTTTCCGCAAGATACAGCCAGGAACACAAGAGACAGACAGCAATCAAAAACAACATTACAAAAGTTGTGTTCGGACAATGGGGTTGATTACCAGTGAGTGGCCAGAAGTAAGAGCCAGGAGGAGTCCCTTCGTATCCTAGCTGCAGGGACGACTTTAACAAGGACGTGGGGATTGAATCAGGCTCCGAAGAAAGGGAAATGTTTGCAAAGATAGGAAGGAACATCTTGGGTAGTAGAATAAATAGACGGAGGCCGCACGTTTGGCTGTGATGGAGGTTTCAAGAGTTGATGTTGAAAAGGTAGAGGGTGAACCCAAAACTTCAGCAGGTGTTGAGGAGGGAAGGAGTTTGGAAACAACATTTTAAGCAACAGGGAGCCTTTGGATAGGGAAGTGACCTGCCAACAACACTGTTCAAGGAGCTAGACCCCAGCGGGAGTGAACGGGGTGAAGCCAGGAGGGAAGAGTGCAGGGGGAGGGACCAGTTTACTCAGAATTTATGCGTAAAGGCCCTGCTATGTGCCAGGCACTCACGGATCCAGGCAGACAAGGCCTCTGCTTTCAGGGTGTTTAGACTTTAGTGGGTCCTCACTGATCCACTCAAGGACACTGATGGATGCTGACATTATTAGGCAGGAGGTGATACAGGAATAGGATATTCATAGAGTCTCAGATTCTCACTGCATAGATGACGTATTAATTACAAAGGGAAGTGGACTCCTTTTGGTAGCAAGATTTCACGTTCCCACCTTAATCAACTGACTGGACCTAGTGTAATTGAGTTGAGATTTTCTGATGTGATTCCAATCAGATATTCTTAACAGATGCATTTAAATGGGATCCACTCATGAGGGAACAATCAGACAAATCCAGAATATGGGAATTCTATAAGATAGCTGACCTGAGTGCACTGAAGATTAAATGTCCTGGGAAACCAACGAAAAGGTTAGGGGGGCAGGTGAAAGGAGAAGAAAGCAGGGGTTGGAAAACTATATAGTCCCAGGGCTAATCCAGCCCATTGCCTGTTTTTGTAAATAAAACTTTATTGGAATGCAGACACATCCTTCTCTTACTGACTTCTACGCTATAGCAGCAAAGTAGGATAGCTGCCACAGCGACTCTGTGACCGGCAAAGCCTAGAAGATTTACTGTCTGTCCCTTTATAGAAAACGTTTCCTGACCCCTGGAATAAAGAAAGCAACATAATAACGAAATGCAATTCCTGAATCTCGACTGGTTCTTGTATCAGGATAAAAAAAATGAAAATATCACTAAACAATTTCAGGGCAACTGGAGAATTCTAAAGAAAGAGTGTATTTTAGATGACATTCCTGAATTCACATGAATTTTCTTGGGCATGACAACTGTAGAGTGTGTTGCATGGTGTCCTCAGGAGTTAAATGCAGAAGTATTTAAGGGTTACATCATGATATCTACATTGTATTTGTAAATGATACAGCCAAAAAAAAAAAAAAAGAATAGAAAAAGAGAAAAAAAAGAATATAAGCAAAATGTCCAAAATATTAATTGCTCACTCTAGAAGAAGGGCATGTAAGTGTTTATTTTACTGTTCTTTCCATATTTCTGTAGACATAAAAATTTTCAAAATAAAATTTAATTAAAGAAAAATTAAACCCATTTTTATGGCCCAGATATCATTTTTCTATAGGCTCTGTTCCTACCCACCAATGCAGGATCTTCCAGGACCTTCCTTTATGATGGAGGAAATACTGGGGACTAGAGGTGGGCGACCTGTCCTTTAAAGATTGCTGTCACTCTGGAAGGCAGCGCGGACATGGTCTTCTCTTGTAACTTGGGGATTTTGCTTGTTGTCTCTTTTGCACAGTAATTCCATCAAGCTGGTGAATCTGCTCTCCATATTTATCAGCACATGGCTAACAGCAGCGGGGTTCATCCATTTGGTAAGTATCCCTAACGAGGCTTCAGCTCTGGCTTTTCTGCAGTAAGTCCGTCCCTGCGTCATTTTTTGACTTAAACTTTTTCTCTCTGAAGGAAACTTCAGCCTCGCCGCAGAATGTAGGAGCAGGAGAAGCAACTGCGCCATTGTCTGGGTTTCCAACCCTTTTCCCCTAAACTAGTTCCAAATGGTGAATGATGTTCGCTTCATTAACCTGAGTTTTTCAGTTCACTGGTTTGGTGGGTTTTTCACCCTGTCTGCAGTAACCCCAGGAAGCCACAAGATGGCAGTGCGTCCTCAGCCAACACTTGAAAAGGTCTTCGCGACAAGGTTGGGCGTTTGACCCACATCTCTTAATAAACAACAAATTCAGATCCCTCAATTTCTCTCCGCTTCCCCCTTACAAAAAGCCACCTCTGATTCTTTTGCCTGATTACTTGTCAAGTTGTTTTGTATCTCCAAAATGTTAATTCTTCTAAATTAATGACTCTTTGAAAGGCTTCCATTATTAAGTCAAGTTATTCGCACTTCCTCAAGGAAGACCTTTATTCCTGCTTTTAGGGACCACAGCTTTTGTTGGAAGCGTGTTTTGCACAAGCGCAAACTATTAAAACTGGAAGGAGCCTTATCTCACTCTGAAGCTTTGAGTAAATGTGCCTTCCCTTTACTAAGCCTCTAGCTGTGTTAGGGGGAGGAAGGTGCCTTTAGTCACCTCCCATCATCGGGATTTATGTAATTATCATGGGAGGCGGGCCTGGAATGGAAGCTGGGGCTCTCCTTCAGTCACTAGATCTGAGGGCTCCCCGCCCACCCTTTTATGCTGATGGAATTCTGGCCTGAAATCACTCTTAGTAGGTAATACCCTCATCACCGTACTTGGTTCAGTAGTCCGGTGAGGTGAGCTCACCATACATTTTGGGAAGTAGCTTCTGCTCCACCAGGAAAGCTCCACGAATATGGCATGTTGAGCTCAAGAAGTGATGTGTGAAAGAGGCTAGGTTTGTTTTGGAAACTTTCTGCCGAGGAAGAACCAGAGGCTTGGTGGATTGGGGACTGGGGGCTGGCTGCCCACACGGGCCATGCCGGTGGGTCATAGGCACTGCCCATGTGGTGTACGGCAGGGCTGGGATCCCGGGAAGACCTGGAGATCCAGTCGCATCTCTCCCTCTCTCCTGAGAGTAGTAGCTCGAGTGTCTCTCCTGCCTCCCTCACAGCTTTGTTGGTGGATCAAACTGATGGAAAGGTAAGGTGTTATGTGAAGGTGCATGTGCTGCACCCCTGGGGACAAAGGGCTCCCAATTCATGCACTCTCCCTTGAGCATAAGTATTGCCTCTGGCTGATTCGCCAACCGCAGAGTTGAGTTGTTGCTACAGAGATCAGAAACTGTATGCTGCACAAAGCTGAAAATATTTACTATCTGGTCCTTTACAGACAAAGCTTGCTGACCCTCAGTCTGAGGGGTTGCGCAAAAGCAAATTGTTCTCAAGAGCTTGACTTTCGTGTGCTCAGGGAAATTCTTGCCCTCTGCGGGGTAGAGCCATCCCTGACATTCTGCAAAGCCAGGAGAGCAGAGTCAGACTCCGAGAGATGCTGATGGGGGTTCAGGTGTAAGGTCTGAATGAGCAAAGCCCACCAGGCATCGCCTTGGTCAAAATGATGAAAAGAGGAGGCCCTGGTGGGAGAGTCTCGAATTTCCTCGGGAGCGCATGAGCCAGGCCCTCAGAGACTGAACAGGAACTCACAGAGAAAGGTCAGGGCAGGGCTCTCTGGCTCTTTCCTTGAAGGTAATGCTGTAAAACGTGGCCGGCGGCAATGCCTTCAGACTCCGCTGGCTTCAGATCTTCAACAATGAGAAGAAAACTGGAGTAGGGATTTTTTATCTCTGCTCTTTCCCCTTCTCTGCCCCATCAGCCTGGAAGACAGGTGTGTGTTACCACCCCACTTTCTCCGTGACCTGTGCAGAGGTTCCGAGTCATTGCTGTAGAGCTCACCCGGGGCCACAGACACCTGGTGCTGAGGCCGCTAGAGGTTTTGGTTTCCTGGTATATCCTATGCACACAATGTCATCTTTTCTCTTCCCTGTCCCCTTGCTTTAGGTGGAGAATTCAGGGGACCCATGGGAAAATTTCCAGAACAACCAGGCTCTCACATACTGGGAATGTGTCTACTTACTCATGGTCACCATGTCCACTGTTGGCTATGGGGACGTTTACGCAAAAACCACGCTCGGACGCCTTTTCATGGTCTTCTTCATCCTCGGGGGACTGGTAAAAACTGTTTATTACGATGTCGATTTTTATGGTCATTGATATTTTCTACGATCCGTTTCTTTAAAGCTTTGTATTTTAGATTCTGTGTTTCCGCATTACCAGCAAGTGATCGCCTTAGCTTTACCCCCAGGCTAAGTAAACCCAAACGCAATGGTGACTTTCCTGCGTGTTCCTTAGGTATGTTAGACTCATTTCCCAGAGACCCAGGCACCCTGCCCTTGCCGGGGTCAGCCTTTTCACCGGGAGGAAACCTAATGGTCTTCCAGAAAGGGATGCTCACTTATTAAGTGAGAGTGTCTGTCCCTTGGTAACGTTATTCAGCAGCTGATTCTCAGGGAGGACAGCTGCTGTCCCCGACCCAGTCCACGCTGTGGACACTCTTTAGACAGTTTGCGGTTTCAAGAGCTCCCCCACACCCTTCATGATCCTCCCCTAACTTCCAACAAACACTGTGGCTGGGGCCTGCCCTGAAGAGTAGGGTCCCTGCGGAGGACAGGAAGCCTAGGGGTTTCCTGCAGGGGGACATCCTTGCGTGACCCCTGTGTGGTTTCCTAAGCAGCCGACCAGCTCCACGATGCAGCGACCCGTGGGGTGTCCCACCACCCCCACATCAGAAAGTTTCGCTGTTTGCTTTTCTGGCCTTTGCAGGTCATAACGGTCGGTTGTGATGTAATGTTCAAGGGGGATTTCTGGCAACACGTTGGTTGCTGTGTTTTGTCTTTCAAGGTAGCCCATTTGGAAGTTGAGATTTTTGCCGCGTATGTGGAGATTAGAATCCTCCCTCGCACACGGCTTCCACATGTGTACACCGCACATGCATTTATAGGATGCATATCTGGCTCTCTGCTCTGTATGCATACAGCACATATACATTTACAGAATGTATATGAATGTACATGTGCGTGTGTCCACTGGCGCAAGCATTTCCTCCGCGCCGGGGCGGTCCCTGCAGGTCACCAGACCCACCGATCCAGCCACAAGCACAATGTTTGTTGGACAAAACATGGCAGATTTGTGTTTCTCCTTGCTATTCTGTCCTCCCATGTGATTTCCTATATTTACCTTTTGTGCTTTTGGATGATTTTTTTTTTTAAACGGAAAAAGTGTATGTATTATTTTAATCTTCTTTTGGTGTTTACTGTCTTTCGTCCCTCAAAAAGGCATTGATTCTCCTGTGAATTTTAACTAGAAAGGTCTTCTCCTGCCCTTGTGTGTATGTGTGTGTGAGTGTGTGATTTCACCAGCATGCATCCCTTGTGCTGATTTCCTTTCAGCAAGAAACCTTGAATGTCAGTTTCTTTATTCCTGTCTCCCTTGCATTTATCCTGACTGTGATTTTTTTTTTTTTTTTTCTGGGTAGTTGTCCAGGTTGGCTAATGTTTGTTTTGTCCTGTATATTTTCAGGAGTTTGCTCTTTTTGTGCTTTTATTTTTATAATCCACTTTATTAGTATATACCTTTGCAGTCTTAACCCTTTTGTGTTTTCGGATCTTAGAGCCCCCTCCCCTTCTGAAAAGGTCACCCCCTTTCTTTGGCCTGTCTTTTCAGTCTCTCTTCTGTCTCCTGTCTTCTCCTCAGGCCATGTTTGCCAGCTACGTCCCTGAAATCATAGAATTAATAGGAAACCGCAAGAAATACGGGGGCTCCTATAGTGCGGTTAGTGGAAGAAAGTAAGTATGCCAAGAGGTTTTGCTGCCTCCGCTGTGGTAGAATCCTCTCTGCATGCCATTTTTTTTTTTTTTTTGGCTCTTTTTTCTTTGTTTCATGCATGTAGGCAATGTTTGCCCGCTACGTGCCCGAAATTGCTGCTCTCATCCTGAATCGGAATAAATTCGGCGGGACTTTTAACAAACATGGAGGCAGAAAGTAAGTCAGTTGCATCAGAAGAGATGGGGTTGAGTGACTTTCCAGAGCCCCTCTGGCGGTGACACAGGAATCCTGCTCTCCCCTCCCCTCCTCCAGAAGCTTCTGTGAGGGAAGGGCCATATTCTGTGTGGGCTGTGATGTCGGAATTACCCCAGGAAGCTGTCCCCCGTGGACCGCCTACCCAGATGTGTGCCCGTTCACGACTTTCTTCCCTACCTGTCGATCCAAGACACATACTGCATTTCTCCTGGAAGGGGTTCCTAGATGACGGGGCCTGTATTTTCTGTTCTAAGCCCTCCCCAGGAAGCTGAGCTTGTTCATTCTTCCCATCGACAGGCTCAGGGACTACATTCTGGTCCCCCAGGTGAATGTGATGCCATCCTTGGAGTTTCGTTTGTTTGTTTTTGATTTTTGTGACACAGTAACATGGGATTGTCCTCCAGCAGGGAGGCCTTAGGGGGGGCAGGGTCAAGGTCACCTGGCCTACCGTCAAGGCATTGTAGCAGCCAGGAAACTGATTCTCTTCAGCCAGGAGGCACTGAGCTTGTCCTCAGAGGGACTATTACGTTGTTGAGATTCCTCAGGGCAAGACACATTCTATCTGTGGTATGTTGGAGCATGGGTCCTATTCCCAATGAGGCTTTCTTTGGGCTTCCTGTACCTCAGCACTTTCTTCTTGGGGACTGGCTCACTTTGTGGTCCAGTCATTCCACCGATCTCTGAATCACTGCAATCCTTCATCACCAACCAGAAGCCTGACTCCTCTGTCAACAGCGGGGCCTCAGCCTCTCTGTCCCCGGCCAGAGCGCCAGGCAGGGCTGGTGGCACCCATTCTTTACTTCACTTTTTTTTTTTTTTTTAAACTTTTTCTTGGGTCCTGAGCTTTGTTGTTGTTGTTTTTGTTCAAACTTCCACAGAGTAAGAGGCACACTTGAGGGTTAACGCACAGCTCAAGGGGTGTGTCCCTGCGTGCATGCTCAGTAACTACCATCCAGATCAAGATGGGAGGATTCTCATCTCTCAGTCCTACAGTGTTTTCAGTCCTATAAGCTCTGATCGCAGAACAGGGTCTCCCCCCTCGGACACCTTTTCAGATGAACTCTTTTTGTTTTGTTTTTTAAGAGAAAATAAAACCATAGCACTGCCCTTCCCCCCTCACCTCCTCCCAGCCTGACCGTCCTGTTGGAGGGAGCACATCTCATCTCTTGTGGGTGATCCCAGAGCCTCCTGAGCTCAGGTGTCCAGTCCTTCGTACAGAAAATGAGGAGGTGGGGAAAAAAAACAACAACAAAAAACAAACCCAAAACTCATTTTCTTGAACTACCCACAGGACACCAGTTTCCTTTCAAAGGAACAAAGGACAGTGGGCGAGAGGAGGCCAGTTGGCGTCTCTTCCGTGGAGGCAACACATTCCTCCACCTTCCCTCTAATGGAGCCCTCCTCTTCCTATTACCTTAACAGCCCTGGATGAGATGAGAACCAAGCTGTTCTGATTTTTGGGCCATTGGTTGGATCCAAAAGGCCAGATAAGTCCAGAGATTCCCATCGGTCATTTATTCCATTGCCAAGAGGAAAACAGCTCCTCTGCCCATTTCGCCTCTAAGGTGTGAACAGGTCGCCATAAAGCAGAAGGCGTTCTGAGGAACTGGGCTCTCTTTATGGCCTCCCACCCCACTAGCTCTAAGCCAGCAATTCCTTATCACGGCCCCCGAGGAAGCCCATAAAGTCAATTGCCCCGACATGTACATGGACCATATTTCTTGACTCTCACCCCGGGTACAATGTTTTTCTCTTAATAGTTTTACTGGTCCAGTGTGGGTGGGCTGGGTGACTGGTGGCTTTTGTTAGTGGGCGTCCCAGAGGGGGCCTCAGAGCAGCGGCCTCCCACCCGCCCCTGCTCTGATCTGGTCATCTTTCTCGCTTTGGCACTTCCACTCAAACCCCTGAGTGCTGATGACTTCAGATCACAGACTTCCCGTGGCTTTTGTTCTGTCTGTCTCCGTCATCTTTTATCACGACCTTTTAGCCTGGTTTTTTTTCTCTTTCGCTTTCTCTCTTCTCCCTTTATGAAAATACACACTTTGCTTTTAATGTGCTCTTTGGGTCTCCGATGTCCCCCGACCCTGAGGACAGAGAGTAGGTCCTGTCATCAACGCCGGGACCGTTCGTTTTACTTTACACATTGTTTCCTGGTTCAAAAGCTAATTACTAAGTAGTTTAAAGAAGCCCTTTGGTCACTTAGATCTTTCATCAGAAAATATAAGCTTGGGAAAGGAACGGTAATAAAGGGCCATTAGCACCCTTTGTTTGATGTTGTTTTTCAGTCAGTAGAACAAGATTGATGAAATGTTATGTTTGGCCAAAATTTGAGTTTTCATTTGGAATTCAGTGTTGAGAGAATGGGCTGTCAGAATCAATAAGTTTTCTTTTGCTTGGGATATGGGCATGTGGTAGTAATTAGCAATATAAGGTCTTTAGTTGAGCAAGCAAGCATGGACTCTGGCAGTAAACATAATGAGAAACTACAGTTGTTCTATTTCTAACGTCAGAAAGTTTCCAGATAAAATTAAATGCATTTGCAAAAGGAAAGCAGCTAAACTTTGTTGAAAGATAGAGTTCAGACTCTTAAAATAGCATGCTTTGCCCCATGTTTTTGTGTATGCAAAAATCTACGCACTAGATGTATGGACGCACGGACGTATACTCTTCTCCCCAGGGTTTCATCAAATGAATGCCCAGAATGTAATTAAAACATATACACAGTAGAGGGGATTGCGTGTGCGTATTTTACGTAGGAATAACCTCTCAAACAATGCATTAACTTGTCAAAGAATTTAAGGGAACTTGTGACCCAAAGCTACAGACATGTACAACTTTGAAATCTAAAGATGGATTTAGAGGGGGGAAAAAAAAAACCCAAAAACCAGAAAACCAAAAACACAAAAAATTAGAGAAGTTTAAGGTTTTGTTTATGCAACACCCAATTTCAGGATATTGGAGAACATGGAGATTTTTGTTGATGCCTCATTTTCGGTTTTCATCTGTGTGTTGGGCATAACATAAACAGCCCACATCGCATCCCCAGGACATCTTCACCATCAACATGGGATCAAGGGCCCGAGTGGCTTTTCCCAACACTCGTATCGATGTTCCTCACTTGACCTCCTGCAGGACCTCCAGAGCTAGTGGTAGATGTGGGGACATGTGCACATGTGAGCATCCACTGTTCTCTACTTTATCTTATTACGATGTGTCAGGGGTCCTAAGAATAGGAATTGGGTGTCAGTAATCAGGGGTTCAAAGTGTGGCCTATGCGGGCAGTCTCTGTGGGCTGGAGGTCTTGGGGACAAATGGCCTCTTGGGTTGAGAGCCCAGATCTTATTCAGAAGGGTAGCCCACCTGCAGCCCAGCCTGCATCCCCCCGGGGGGCACATTGCTCCTTCTCCTTCCCTCCATGTAAAATCAAAGCTGCTCAGAGGTGGGGGAGCAGGAGGGTGAGGCTCCCATGGCCTTTGGGATCCCAGTTTGCTCTTCTTCCTCCCATAGCCCCTTGCCATTTCCCCCAGAGATTTCCTCTCTGTGTGTGACTCAGCCACTCCTGCTTAGTTTATGAGAACTGACAAGATCATGGTCCGAGGTCACATGGCCAAGGGCCATGGAAAATAATCAGCCACAGAGAGGAATCCATCTGCTGTTAGAGGTGGCCAGGCCGGAGAGCCATCCAGACCTTGTTTTTCCCATGATGGGCTTCTGGGGCCCCAAACTGAGGCAGTCCTTGGTCAGGTGTTTGGGAGAAGGGAGAATGAGGTGTGTTTGGATTATTCTACTGGTTTCTGGTAGCCAAAGGCTGAGAAGATACAGAGAGAGGAAAATGAATAATAGAGGACAAGATGAAGGCAAAAGGGGGCCAGGAAAGCGAATGAGGTCTACTTGAAGGAAGGGTCTCCTGGCTCATGGAGAGTCTGGGCCCCCCTTCTGGTTGGGGGAATAATTGTCACAGACTAATATGGCTTTAGTTCCAATATAGGAAAGCTGTCCGTGGAACTTATATGCTATGGCTTCCCTCAGAACTTTTCTTTATGTAGACAGAGGAATGCCACATACTTGCAGATGAAAAGGGAATCACTATGACCCAAAGACTTGAGACTGCCTTCTCAGACAGTAGTAATACCTACCAACTTGCATATTTCTTAATCCTCATAGCAACCACATAAAGAAAGCATTACCATCTCCCTTTGCAGTGGGTGAGGAAATTAAGGAACAGAGAGGTTATGAGACTTGCCTGACATTACGCAGCAAATAAAGGATAGATTTGGGATTTGAACCCAGGGGCAGTCTGCTTCATGGGGTTGTGCTGCCTCTAGTGATCATCTCCTGACACGTCTTTCTGTTCTGAACCCCATGGTCCTGTGGTTGTATGTTTTCCTCCACCCCTGCCCATGGGTGGGGCCACAACACAGTGCACATGATGGAGAAGAAGAGAAATGCCTGAGTATCACTATGGGCCTCTCTCTTCCTTATGCTCGCCTATTGCTTCTAAAGGTCCTGCCCCCCGCCCCCCAAGGTCAAGGACCAAAGGTAGAGAGGGGACAAAACCATTTCTTCCTTGATTTTTCCCATTTGGTGAGACTAGAAATGTATGTATCTCTTGTACGTTTGTAACGACTAAGGGCTCTCAAGAATGGATGGAGGGATCATTGACCAAAATGAGATTTGTGCCTTATTTGTGGGTCTCGACATTTTCAGCCCCTCTCTGGGGAGTTCATTCCCTAGGTTACCAGCCATGGCAGACTGTAGTGATCTG